TACCAAGTTTATCAAATCATTGATATTAAAAATCTCGATTTGAAAATATATGATAGAAATCATATAGAAACTATATATTATAATTATTAACATTAATAATAACTAGGAAAAAAGCCATGCTTCGCATGGGTTGGAAATTTTACATTTTTTCAAAAAAATTGGCCCATTATCATTAAATAATAAAGTGCAAATAACTCATTTCCATTAAAAAAATATTGTTAAGCATTTGTAGGGTTTGGAATATGAAGGAACTGAATTTTGTCATACATTTGGTTGACAAGTAACAACAATTGTTCGGTGATGAAATTCAAAGGCCAAAGGAATTAATATTATCATAAATTTGAACATGCAATAAAATTCACCTCTATTCTTCTGCTTTAAGTTTCGGTTTGTGATGACTTTCCCATGCTTGAATTTTAATCTATTTGTGTATAAATCTGAACACACATCATAAATAATGTTTATAAAAAATATTTAAAAGGTGAAATAACATTAATAAACAAATAATAGTAGATAAGTGTTTTTCTGTTGTGATCTTCCCACGCAACCACCCATTTCTCAAACTCAACTCTCCACGCCTCCTCGGCCAAAATGTGCCCTTCATCAATTTCTTTTTCCGTGTCGTCTTTATTTTCCTAAGCCGTAATGTTCATCTTTCTAGGTTTGTACCCCTACCTGTAAAGGCTCCTTTCATGTTGTAAGTTTATTCGACATGGTATACGAAAAAAGAGCATATAAAATGACCAATTTGCCCTCAGTCAATCCTGTGCTACGGTGAAAGTGACTAACGATGAAAATATGCTTAAAAAGTCGAAAATAGTCATTGTATCTTTTTTAAGAGTCAAGAATGTACTATTTTGACTTTTGAAAGTCAAATTTACCATGTCACAAACATCAACATTTTACTATTTTGTGATGCTTAGAGTCGCATGTTATATAAAAAAAGTAAGGAAAATGTTAATATGCATTTTCATATCAGACAGATTTCATACATGGTAAGCTAAATAAGGAATTTTGAGTAGCAATGGAACGCAAGATCACCTTCAATTTTAAGATTTACTTTTCTAACCTCTTCTTCAAAGTTCTTATTGTCTAAAATACTCTTTTTGTTGGTAAGCAAAATTCAGTACAATCAACTGTTTGTACGATCAGTGTGTGGAATTTGGTAACTTTAGCTTATAGCTTTGTAAACCACGGACCTGCATTTCAGACCAGTCCTTAGATAATATATAACATAGTATAATGAAAGTATAATGTAAGTAACAACAATGTACTTGCATTTTTTTGTGGATAGTGGTATGTGTTGACTTGAGATTGTGAGAGTTTTACCATACTGCCACTACAACTATTGGGGTTCAGATCAAGTTGTATAACCCAAATACCATGTTTGGCTGCTAGGTGGACGGAATCCAAATATCCAATCCCGTTGGAATCGTTCAAGTTTCATGTTTGCGACTCGTTGTTCTTCTCCAGACCAATTTACCTCTATTTTTACTCTGTAATAGCCACGACCAGATTGGCCAATCTCAAAGGCCATTAACATGCTATACATGATTCCCGCCCTGTTTTTACGACCTATTGTATATAAACCAGCCTCAGTTTCCGGTCCAAATCCCCTATAGAAGACATCAGCCATCAGTCATAAAAATCAGAAAAAAAAGTTCCAATCAAAATCAATTACAAACTATCTCAATATTATGCTGACAAATTAGATAATTGCTTCCATTACCAGATCAACCAAACATCTATTACCATATTAAAATATGTCATATTGAATGAATATAGGGCTTATTGAGACCGCTAATAACACCATAGATAACATCGACCTTCCTTTTTATTTGGTTGATCATTGGAGTATGAATCCATGTTTCCTAACTAAAAAAAACGATTACTTTGAAGGATGACGAAAAGAAGGAAACACTAATTCGAAACAGGAAGGCATAATTGAATTAAAAAGGGATAAAATTGAATTGAATAATTGTTTTGATGTTGTCAGATGTGAGTGACAAATCGATTACGATACATGGTGTAGAGGCGGCGTTTATCTGATATCATAAATTTTAAACAAAAAATATATTTTCATGGAAGCAGGGAAGAACCGAAAGGTAGAAGGTAGATGAAGACGAAGCCTCTCATCACATCTGACTGCTTTTTCCTCCATAGGTCTGACAATATGGATAAGCCCTGTTATTACCAGCAAAATCAAAATAATTAAACCATCAGGTTCAAGTGAAACCATAAGAAAACATGGATATTGAAACAGAAGGTGTGTTGAAGTGGGGAAGAAAGCAAGAAACCCTAAGTTTCTTCGATTGAGATTTTGTTTGCTATCGCCTCCTTCTCCGGCGATCACCAAAGCAGTTCCGTGAGTAGTTCAGGAAAACAAAAACTTCTCCCAAGAGTCAGAAGCAACGAAGGATCAAGGTGGAGAGAAGCCGTAATCGAGGATTTGGAGAAGTTGGAGATGAACCGGAGGGTATAATCGGCAGTGAGGTGGTTTTAAGCCTGAGTCGAACAAGGACGATGCTGTGGTGAAAATCGGTGGAAGAGATGGTGAATAAGAGAAGAGACTGGAAGGATGAAGAGAATTAAGTCGATGGCGATGGATAGAGTCGGTCAAGGGCAGGGACTAAAGTAAACCTGTGTGATCAATATCTGAATGACTCAAACTTCTGTGGCTAATATCAGAATGAGTCAAAAGTTATGTGGCAAAAATTAAAAGTCCAAAAGATCACTGTTAATACTTGCCATGCGCTTTAATATATAACTAGCAATTGAACATAAAACCCCCCACTAGTTTGAACATAAAAAAACACTTACATATGGCCGATGAGGCGACGGAGATTGGGAACTTGCGATCCACAACGAACCAGAGATTCAAAGTAATAAAGTAAAATATTTGCAATGAACAGAGAATCAGAGAATCAGATATTTGCAATAACTGAATCGTCTTCTCGTAATCAGAGATTGCAACGAACGGAAGTTGGAACTGGATTCGGGAATCGTCTTCTATCTTGGGCCACTTGGCTACGTTTACCGATTACGTCTTTTGCTATCGCACCACAGCAGAGAGACAGTCAGACACGGAATAGCTGGGTGGTGGTAATCCTACAAATTACCTATAATCAATAATAATACAGGGGACCAATTCTGTCAAAAAAATGACAAGTTTACTATTCTTTTTCTTCATAACTTTAATATATATATAATAATATATAATTTGAGGTATTCTTTTTATCAATAATATATAATACTTTTAGTAACTCAAAACGAAAAAACTAATAGATAACAATTAATCATATGAAGCTCGTTTCCAATTAAATAATATTATTATATTTTTTTTCTAAAATATTGATATTAAAGATAACAATTTGGATACTTAAACAATGCCAAGCCACTCAAAAGAGTAGAGTTTGGTCATTTTTACATAGCTAGGGAAAAGGGGGTTGGTATAGATTTGTCATACTTAGCATATAATGCATACTTAACAAAGACCATCCATATCAAAGAAAATTCATAAGGACTATATGTGGTATTTTATTGTCAACAACAGAGATTATTTATATAACTTTATCTTTATTTTATGACATGTTTTAAAAAAAATTATTTGTTAAAAGAAAACTAATCACCACCAGCAAACAAAAAAAAAAAAAAAAAAAAAAAAAAGAAAACTATCTAAATGAATCTATTTGCCAAAAAGGCCAATTCACCACCTCCCGGATTTTTGCTCGCTGCATATGCGAATGTAACTTTGAGGAGCAACTTACTTCAAAAAGTGAAAAACTAACCATGATCCACTGATTAAACAAAATGATTATAATACATAAATAAACACTTTAGATAATAAAAATAAAATGTAAAATTCAAAGTTTAGGGCTTTTAGGCAATCTTGTAATACTTTGTTAACCCTCATTAAAAACCAGTGTTTACATTGTTGAATTAAAACATCTGCCCTAGGTTTCATTAGATATATATACTACGATTATTCTATATATACCCCTAATTGTTTGGTGTACCCCTATGTGAGTGTGTGTGTGTTTGTCTTTTTTATGTGAGTGAGAGGAGTTACATATAGTAACTCCCATATACTATTGTTCTGTATGTTCATCCTTTTTATTCATAATGGTTAGGCATTCTAACATTTGTTTGTCGGTAATAGTAACTATTGCAGTTATAATAATTAGCTAGGTCGGTTAGTTCATTGTTTTGGTTACAAAATTCAGATTTGACATTAGTACAACTAATCAACTAGTTTATTATTCACAAACTACATAGAATTATATAGCTAACAAAGAGCAAACAGAATCACAATCAAAACATTTGAAATTACTAGAAATCACAATCAAAACATTTGAAATTATTGACTTCACTAGTTCATCGCGTTCCAACAATCAGTGCAAATAATTTCGCAATTCATCAAATAGGTTAGTAATGTAGTTATAATATAATAAAATTGAAAAATAAGGAGACATAAGAGTTTTAGTAGATGGTGTGCTTTGCTTAGAGAATAACCTAGAAAACAGAAAGAAGATGCGATAGAAGACACTTGTGACTAGATAAAAAGCGATCACTAAAGAGGGTAGCGGGGTATTTCTTTCGTATGATTTTGATGCGATCATATACAAGAAATAAAAAAAAATCTTTTTTAAATGGTCTAACAACAAATTCCTTATGAATAAAAACCTTGTGTCCCATGTAAATGTAACCTTTTTAACATAATAACATCTATAGAAGTTAGTTTTGGTCATGGGCTTGAATATTTTCATGCAAGTTACTAGGCCAATGGCTGGGCTTGGTGGGCTTTATGACAGGTCCTTCTTGGGCCAGGCACCTTTTTGGGTAAACTCCGTAAGATGCATTGCATGTTGAGCGATTCGTGTAAAAACGCCTAAACTTTCTGCGTCTTCTGGCAAAACCAACTTACATTCGACAAATTTTTATTGATCACAATTCAACATTATTGAAATAATTAAAAGGTTAAAAAAAAAAACAAATTCACCTCAGCAACTATTCGAAATCACATCTCTCTCCTCTCTCGATCTGATTATCACCCGAAAGAAAAAGAACCCTAATGTATGTCCCAATACAGCCACCAAAAAAACTCCAACATTAAATGACATCAAAGCCAACATCACCATGTTTCCAATCCCCACACGTAAGCCATACAGCATCGTCTGAGCCAATCCAGACGCTGCACCATCGGATTTCATCCTTGACATGGCATCAGCAAGCCATTCCACTAAAAGAGCCATAAAAAACACGAATATCAAAGCCAATGCATACATGCCTATGTTATTTGTCCCTGGCCACCCTTTGAAAAGGATCAAAGCGTCTTTTCCCCAATAGAATGTCATGTGCATAATCATTCTCTTCCGACGTGGCATCCCCAGTGTTGTTCCATTGACACCATTCGTCATCATCGGTGGTGGAGCCATGATCAACCTATAAATGAGACTGGTTCGATCTTTTTGTTTCTTGTATGAAATATGAATCAGTCAGTATTCACAAGTTTGTATATTTATAGTAGGATATATATATACTGTATAGTACGATACGTATTTACTTTTGATAGTACAATATTGTTGGTATGTTAATGTAAGTAGTACATGGGGATAAATAGAGATTGGGTCGTAAACTTGATTTGTGACATTAACTACATTCCTAAATAAAAGGCATAAAAAAGTTTAAAAAACATCCTTGTTTTTTCCGTGAATTGCAACGAAATAAAAAAAAAACAACTTTGCCATCGTTTATAGTTATTAATTACCTCAAAATTACTAATTTTGTTTTACCCTACATGAATAGAGTTATTTACAAAGTTGAAATCTTTTGATGATTTTCAAAATTAAGAATTTAAGAAAATTAACTTTTTTGTTATATAAATCCGAAATAAGTTATTGTTATATAAGGTAAACGAAATAACAATTAATATTATGCAAAATAAAAATTACCTGTAAATTTTCTTTAGCTATAACAGTTAATGTAATTTGATTGTTTTCATAAGTTCATACTTACAAAATTAATTTTTTTGGTCCCTGTGATTTTTTGTTTTCTTTCTATCGAGCCTAAAAAATTTCCAACTAACCCAAGACGTTCAAAATAGAACTTTTGTAGATTGGGTCCTTGTCAACCATAAATGATTATTATACCATTTATTATTTATTTATTTATTTATTATTATTATTATTTTTTACATCTTTAAGACTTTTATAAGACAAAATTTCGTAACTGGTGTATATGCTTTACAAAAAAGTCACAAGTTCGTTCTATATTCTTGATGAAAATGGTACTTATGTTTCTAAAAGTTGCATTGGCAGTCCTTATGCCTCTCGTCGTTTATTTTTGGTCGTTTAATCCAACCACGCAAGGTACATTGGTCATTTCTTTTGGTGCATATTCATTAACACCTTAGACATGGATTTACATAATCAATCATTCACTAAACTGTCATTAATTGATCTCATTCCTCCCAAGAATTTTATTTGTCTTCTTTCTATATCCAAATTTCCTTCTTCACCATTGGAAGTTAGAAGGAAAACCGTAAATACGCCATTATCATTTTTGAAAATAAGGTTTTTAAAGTAATGGTGCTAACTCCATGAAATGTTTGTGAGGTATGTACACAAACAACAGATTTAGAAAAAGAATACAAGTAATGATTTGAGCGATTGTTTTTCTGAAACAAGTAATATTATGCCTGACAAAATTTTATAGGTTTTTTGTTTTGTATTTGTTAGATAAGGGTTTGATAACTATTTAACATTAAGGATACACCATGGTGGCATCTTTACCAAATATACATGAAGAAAATACATTAAAAACACTGTGTCGTATATGGACTACATTGATATTTTTCTGTTCATGAACTTGATGACATGATTGGAGAATTAACTATTGTCTCTAGGAAATAATCATGATATGATCAAATTAACTAAGTATGTATGTAAACATAGATAACCACTTGTGTACATTGAACATGTGCAAACAAGAGTACACACATATTTCATGTTTCCATCCAATATTGTGATTGAGGAATTGGATTATGGTGTTTCACTAAGCTTAAATATATTAAACATATAAAAGGAACTTGGATCTTGCAATATATAGGAAACAATATTTAATTTTTTCTCTTAATGAGGCCTTTATCTAGTCCCACGCCATATATTAGCTTACTAGGTGTGAGACTCATGTATTACATGAAGTTATTTAAAAAAATATATAAATATAAAATTTTAACAATTTGAGAAGTTTGAATTTATAAGAAAAATGAAAAAAAATTTAAATTATTAAAATTAATGAGACTTTAATACATTGAATACATTATATATATAAACCCCTTCTAATAAATACCTTACATATATATTATCTTACATATTAAATGTGAAATTTTAATTTAATAAAATGAAAAATACAATAAAATGATAAGTAAAAAATAAAAAATTCAAAAATTCTAGAAAGTGTCATGTGTCCAAATAAAGAAGAAGAGAACATGTGGCAAAAATATTTTGATTTATTAGGGATGATTAGATTATATCTTTTAGACAATCTCATATAACCCGATGAAGTCCCATAAATCAACATGTAAGGTATACCAAAATACAGTAGAAAAAGATCTTCTAAGTGAACAACATGTTCCTATTGCACAATATGTTCAAGATGAGCACAATGTACCAATAGCTCAAGATGTTGCAAATATTGAAGAGGTTCCATTTCAATTTAATATAGATGTTCCTACTCAAACATTATTACAATATGATTTTTTTAATCTATTTTTTGATATCGGTGAAAATGAATACCAAAATATAGGCAATATAGATTTCGAGCACGAAGATAACGCCAATACAAATATGTTGGTCCCAACATTGTAATCAAACAACAATAAAGTAAAGAACACATCAAATACTTTGAACCTAAATCTTTATTGATAAAAAATAGTTGTGTAATAACAAGATATGATCGGGCCGGTCTTGAGGATTTAAATATCCTCAAATGCCCTGGACAAGCTAGAAAAATGGTCTTTATCGTTATTATAAGTTTTATATATATATATATATATATATATATATATATATATATATATATAATATAATATAATAAAAAAAGTTGGGCCCCCAAAAAAATTATGCCTTATACAACTGCCCATTTTGCCCCTTCCTCAACGCCCCTATATGATTAGATAACATACTTTCATTATTAACACACTATTGCATAACTTTCACATAAAACAATATTACATAAAGAATAGATACATCTTCATGTAATCCCTAAAGATCAAGGAGTCTTATGTTAATCCTTAAACTCTATCTTCAGTTTAATCTGACACCAACTCTTTTTAAAAGATATCCACATCCCAGGTTATTTACTACAAATTCACAAAACGGGTGTTACACAATACAATAATCTCCGATTGAGATGTAAGGCTTATAGATAGTCTAACGTAGGAACAAACATAATTTGCGATCATGTTAATGGAGAAGATGATGAGCTTTGGGTAGAAAATAAAAGGGAAAGAAGGTAATAGTGTTTAAAAATGCAAGTAAACGATTACCTCAATATAATAAGATATGGGAATGAATTGACTAAAATACCCTCATTCCATGGGCATATGTTAGATAGACACAATTCGAGACACGAATACACGAATATGTGAGTGAAACGACACAATACGAATACATCTTGAAAATTGAGATAAAACTTATTTCTCTTCGTGTACTTGTATTGTGTCTTCGTGGCTAACACGTTTTCATGACACGAATACACGAATTGGGAGGTCTAATGTTAGATGTAAACGACAAAAAGAAACAGCCTGAGACATAAGGGCCACCAATGCAACTTTTAGAAACCACAATGAACATTTTCATAAAATATGTTAGTGATTAAACATGTGACTTTCTGTAAAACACAATGTCCATTTATGTAATCTTGTTTCAACTATATGTTGTTGATTTTTGATATTTTAAACCAAAAAGTTTTGTTAAAATTATTAATTTGTAATTATGAAATTATTAAAATAATTAAAATCAAATACTCGATATCATCATCGGTTCCAAAATCTAAAGAACTTATATATCCTGTTCCAATTCTGATTTTAACATTCCGTTGATTCTAGTTCATATTAATTCGAGTACTCATCAATGCTCGCTTTCATATGCCACACGTACTAGCAAGCAACTTTGCATTAATTAGCCAAAACCCAACTCTAATTCGGCATTAACATTTTCCTCATTATCAAACGATATAATCCGTAAAATTATAAATACTTTGATAAAAAAAAAAGCAAATCATGTCGTTGTTTTCTCTTTGTCTTAGATGGATTAAGCTCATTAATAATTATTATATATCCAAATTTATGGAACCAAAAAGACTGCAAGGTTCATGAATTTTTATATATTTATAAAATGAATATTGAAAAAAAAAAAAAGCTTCAATGCGTTCAAATGCTCCACTTGGATTTGTCCATCCCCGATCTGCAAAAATAATGGTACTGTAACAAAATCAAGTGTTTACTCTATATCTGGTTGATGTATTACTATATTTCTGGTTGAATGACATCAACTTGACTTCGGACATTTATTTTGCAAGTTTTTCTGCAAAAGGCCTACTGATTTTTTTACTGTGTTGCCATATTAAGAGAATGGATCTTAGTATTTTTAGGGTGTGAAATATCTATTTTATTTTTTCAACTATTTTACTTATTTGGCTTAAACGAAAAAATACGAGAACATAAACATGGTATTTGAGATACTGATCAGTATATTCGAAATGTAAGTTTGGCCAACAACGAAATTTTTGAGCTTTAATTTAAGACTCGAAAAACCTCATATCAATGTGAATAAGTCGATCATTCCATTAAATATTTTGTACCTTGATCCACCACATTCTAGACTACCATTACGACGAAATGAAACCCACCAACTCCTCCAACGAATCATATGAACAACCACCATTTTGCACTGCTTCTTTAACCATTTCCTTCATTCCGATTGCTCTAACTCTCATCTCCTCCCCTTCTTCATCCACAATAACTCTCCTAATCATGCTTTCCATCTCCCCACTCTCTAAACCCTCCAATTCCAACCCTATCTTCCATACGTAACTCACGTAACGTGCATTCACCATTTGGTCTATATTAAATGGTTGGCATATCATCGGAATCCCATCCGAAATACTCTCCAATGTCGAATTCCAACCACAATGACTCCAAAATCCACCAACAGCAAAATGGGCCAACACTTCCTTTTGGGGCGCCCATTTTACAGTCAAGCCACGTTCTCTCGTCTCCTCTATGAAACCCTCCGGCAAGAACTCAGTCCATTCCGAGTCACAAACTGAACCCGGTCTAACCACCCATATGAACCGCTGGTTGCTTTTGGCTATCCCACATGCCATCTCGGTTAGCACTTTCTTGTCCAACGTCATTAAGCTTCCGAAGCTTATGTAAATCACGGATTTTGGAGCTTGTTTGTCGAGCCAGGCAATGCAACTAGTGTCCTCTTCGAGAAAACTAGTAGGGGGATTAGTTGGTGCTATTTTGTGCAGAGGTCCGACTGCAAAAACTGGAACCTGGTAGTGCTTGTGGATTTGGGTTAAGGCTTCATGTTCGAGAACTTTGATGGTGTTCCAAATAACTGCAGAGGGTCGAATCGATTGGCTGATTATGGCAACCAGTTGCTGCCAATCTTCAACAGGTGATTTTGAAAAGGGCAGATCTTTGTACCTGAGGGGATGATGATTTGGCACCATCTCCTGCATCACATAATCTTTTCAACAAATGGGAGTTACCTTAATTAGTTTGTATATACATCTAGTACTTTCTCGTGCTTTCAATTGAAAAAGTACTAGATTAGTTAATTGAATCTTTCATCTACATATATCAAGGTTGTAAGTTTGATGTACCTTGTTCAAGAAATCTGCCTTCTTGATGGAGCTGCTGACGGACAAGGTAAGCCGGAAAGTACGCTGCACTGCTACTGCGGAAGACTATGGCGGCAAGATTCAGATCGACGGCAACGGTTCCTGCAAAAAACATAAGGTGGTCATAGATGACAACGATTGATTTATTTCCTCTATTTTGTTCACCGATTAATCGAGTCAAGTGTTCTTTGAATGATGGTTTGCAGTTTTTGTTGAGAGTCTGGATGAAATTACTGAAGCTACCGGAGTCATCAATAGTGGATAAATTGTCGGAAAGTGGGAGAAAAATGAAGGAAGGATGGTTAGAAGGGTTAGGAGGGTTTAAATTGGAGTGAGCAATGGCTATAGAGAACCCATGGGCATGAAGGGCTTTGGCGAGCTGAAGAGTAGGGGTCATGTGGCCATGAAACGGGGATGATGCTAGCACAACCAGTGGCCACCGTCTTCCGCCGTGTTCTTCCATCTCTCTATCTCTCTATGTATCTATGATTCTATGTATCGATCTAGAAGAGTTTTTGTTTTCTTTAGAGGTTTGTGCGCTGGTAACGATGATGGTTCCAAAGAGAGAATATTTTGTAAACAATGAAGACAAGGACTAGAGGCACTCATCTGTCTTTATGGGAAGCACCAACATTCACTGATTCACTACCATGGCCTACGATTGATTTTTTGCCTTTAATTTTACACAAAAGAAAAAACATTTACGTAACTATAAACGCCTAACTATCAAAGTATGGTTGCTAAAACTATAAAACACACAACAAAAATACCAATTACCAAATCAGATTCAGAATCTCACAAAATAATAATTGAAAATCAGATTCAAAACTACTATAAAATCAGAACTGAATACAAGATTCAAAACTGCAACAAAATCTACTACAAACTACGTACTACAAAATCATAATTGAATATCAGATTCATAATTACTACAAAATTAGAATTGAGCATCAGTTTTGGGTTTTCTCACAAAATCAACAAGTTTTGATAATTTAATATCATCTAAGAACTACACAAAATCAAAATGATCTAAAAAAAATCCTCGAAATTGAAAATCAGAAGTAAATTAGATTCAAGACTACTACAAAATATTCTAAAAAATCATAATGTTCACAAAATCATAATTGAATATGATGTCTCATTTCTCAGAATTGAATATCAGTTTTGGATTTCTATTTTCTAGAACTGACGCAAAAAAGACTAAGTAGTCGAGAATCACCCTCACTACAAAAAAAAATAAATAAATAAATAAACTACATTTAATAGCACAATATTTTTTTTTCTTTTTCTTTTTTTTTTTAGAACGGCAATAGCACAAGAAATAGCACAAGGTTTTTAAGTGGCATAATTTTTTTGTGTCATTAATTCATTATCTTATGTTTTAGTGGCCCATATTTTGTTTTGCCACTTTATAAAAGGAAGTATTATTAGCTAGGTTTGAATTGTGTTTTTGAATTAGTCAATAGTACTCATTTTCCTGTTTCCTTTATTTATTTTATTTTGGTTTCTCACTGTGTTCCTCCAAACAACTTTTCATTTTCCCTCTAAATCATTTTTAAGTTCAATCTTAACATATACACAAACATTCACTATTCGTTTTGTGTCTTCTAAATACAACCATTTAGATGTCTAACAAACAAATATGTTTTCAGTCAGAGAAATATTATTTGTCAGGAGTATGTCCGATTTAGATTCAGACAGATCGTACCAAACATTGGCAACCCCTAGCTCCCTTGTCATTAGTTGCCTCTGTCATCATTCCAAGTAGGAATGGAAGTGGGACCGGGCCCGACGCGAATGAAAGAAAACCCGGAAACCCAGAAATCAGAATTGAAGGATTAGAAGACCCAAGAACCGACACGGTATTAAGGAACTGACTTTGGTTTGGTTCCAAGTATTAGACCAGGTAAAGTGGGTCTGAAATGGTTGGAACCAGAATTTGGTACTTGGAACTGGTTTTGGGTTTTAGACCCAGATAACCAAAAAGTTTGTTGTTGAACTTTGAAATTGGTTTGGGATGGCTTAGACTATAGGGAGTGACCCTTGCCACTCCTCACCAAGACGTCACCAACTCCGCCCCTAGGCTCTCGCCAAGGGTCTCGACAAGGATGCCTCGCAATCGGCCAACAAAAAGAGAGAATATAGAGAAAGGGAGAAATGGTCTATGAATGGTGTTCTCTATTTTTTTTACCAAAATAAAACCTAGCTATTTAAATGGAATCACCACACACCCCAATAATTCCAAGATTTTCATGTTTTATTACAAAAACTTAGGTGGCAGATTAGTGTGTTAAGTTCACCATCATTCCCTCTTAATTACCTTAAAAAGAAATAGTTATGTTCAATTAACAAGCGATGGACCTTGACAAATGAAATAGCTAGGTCCTATGTTTCATTTTGTTTCTGTGCACTTGGATTTTTGAACTACATTTTGAACCTTCATAATTTTACATAAATTTTACATAAATTTGGTTTGCATGTATATTGTTCCTCTTTGAGTTACATATGTCAAACTAGTTGTTTTTTCTTTCTGAATTTGAATGAAATAACTCTTTTTGTCTTTAAGTTAAATGTGGGAAGAATTTATATTTTTAAGTTACATAAGATGGAATTATTGGAAATTAAAGATTGCAAAGTTTTTTTTTCTTGGGATGATCGAGACATTGGTGCCAAATGGAAGGGCTTGCAAAGACATTAGCTTGAGGTGTTGAAGGAAAAATCGGGTAAAGAAGGCCACCACTATCACATCGGATTAAAGGTTGTTTTGTCCTGTAATCATTGACAGTAAAACCAAATTAGTCAAATTCAATTAAACATTTATTTTGATTGGGACATAAAATTTATTATTATTATTATTATTGTTATTATTATTATTATTATTATTATTATTATTATAGTGGGTGTGATAGGAATATTGTAAAGGTGAAGGAGACAGTGTGAATTATGTAAAAGAAATGAAGAATGACCGGTCTTAGTTACAGGAATATGGGATCTGTTACCAACTATAACATAATGAAAATTATGATTATAACTAAGGGATTCGAGTATACATTCATTTACATGAACATGATCGATTGCTCTCGTATCCATAATCCAATCATTTTGGTCCGGTTCTTAAAGAGACATTGATGAAAACATTTGAGGGAGGGTTGTTGCTTGATTTGGGTCCAAACCAATCTCAAGGATCTGGGAAATTAGAAGAAGGCTGCTGTCCCATCACATTAGTTGTGGAGGAAGTTGTCACGTGGCCCTGATGAGCAAGAGGTGGAGCTGGGCCTAGAAGACCATTCTATTGCTAGGCTGGAAATATGTTGGGACAAGAATTGGGAGAAGATCAGTTCGACCCACGCATGTAGGCTGGCAGTGGTATGAAGACCCAACCATAATACATGGACTCATGCATTAAAATATTGATCAGTTCCCTGAGTTGATTGTTGCCGACGATCCTTAGTGATTGGTTTTCTATGCTTCTATACACAATATTTGTCAACGGAAGCAATTAAAATAACCCTAAGTGCACAAGCAACTTAGGATCTATGTTTAATAGTTATAGCAGCCTACTTTGAAAACTACAAAAGTAATACTATAAAGAGGGATATAATTACTTACCTTCAAGAAAATTCAGATTTGCTTATTGAACACTTGTAGATCTTGAATTCCTTGATGCTCTTGGAAGACCTAGCACCCAAAGTATAGTGCCTCTAAAGAATCACACCGAAAAGACTAAACACTAGAAAATAAGGAGAGAGAAGAGAAGACTTTCAAAACTCGAATTCTGTGAGTGCAAGGGAGAGAAGAAACGAAAATTTGGAAGGCTAGTAGGGTCTATTTATAGCTGAACAAACTTGTAGAGAAAGCAGATTTAAATTTATTAAATAATCAAATTTAATCCTAATTCAAATCCATGCCTTATCAACAACTATGGACGAAATCTAGAAGGATTCTATCCTTCCTTAACACCAATCAACCTATTGGGATTCCAAAATATTCTAGTTCTCAACTATTAAACAATTAATTTTCAGTCCTCCTACCTTTAAATAATTTCCTGATTAATTCTAATTAATTCCAAATCAATTCAAATTATTTTTAACTAGTTTTCTAATTAATTTATCAAGATATGATAAATTAATAAACTATTTATCTCACTCTCTTAAATCATTTTCTAGCTATTTTAGCACTTGATGGCAACCCTAAAAGGACTTTGATATTATTCCTAAAGTTATACCAATAAGTTATGACACTGGACACCCATTTCCAATAGTCTCCCACTTGGACAAGTCATCAACTACTATTGGTCAAATAATCTTCGAATAACCAACAAAGCATGCCTTCCATATCATCTGCCAAACTCTAATCTAATTGAAAATCATCCCTTAGATAAGTGATCAATTATTCCTTTTTTTTCTACAAGATATTTGTGTGAACTGAGTCATGGATTATGAATCAACCTAATAGTTCAACATTATGTTTCTTGATTTATGATTTATGATGATCAAATCAGCTACTAATTGCACACATCAATTCAGTCCGGGCTAGACATAATTATAGTTTCATTTTATTTATTTCTTTTTTTAGTTTATTTTAGCATATTTCATTCATAACTTAGCTAATCTTCATGCATATTTTCCTTTTTGTTATTTTACGATTATTTAAGGTACTTTCTAGTTTCGTGAACATAATTGCAGATTTTAAGGAGACTAGCAGAATGGGGTATTTGGGTGGTAAACGGACTTGGAGGGCAATGAAGAATCATGGGCTAAAAGACTAATGAAGATGATACAATTCTTGGGCTTCTTGATATTTGAATGACTTGAAGAAGATGGGCCTTGAATTTAGAAAATGGTGAATATTTGAACATGCGAGCATAAATGATCGGGCGAATACACAGGTTAGACTGACAGTTAGTAAGTGGAGTGGTGTGTGTGCTTTTAAAGCTTTTATTTCTTGTATAATATTTATGTGTTGTGATTGGCAGTTGCTACCAATAAAAAATTGGGTTTTGCTTTTGCTTTTAGTTTGTTGTCTTTCGGTATTCGTTAAATGTGGTATTCTTTTTATTAGGTCTTGGAACTTCCTTGTCATAATAATTTATTAATTTATTGTCACATAATATATTAAAATAGAAGCATGAAAATTTAATTTACTTTACAGTATGTAGCTTGAGACTCTACATTCCAATATAACAGAATAGCATAGTTTCTTAGTAAAACAATGTATTTTCAGTTCTATTTTCCATTTGAATCCATTGCTAGATGTCATTTACCAATAGTCATGTAGATTTGACGTTTGATTCATTAAATAAGTAATTTAATCCATAACCCATTTATACCCACTTTAGTCATCTACCAACAACCGATGGTTTTATCAAATATTATATTAAATTATTACTTAAACTAATATTTTAAACCATATAAATGGGTATTCTTTTTTATAAAAAGTTTGTGTTGAGCTTTCACCTTTTTC